AATCAAACCAAATGCTGGGGAAGAATCTGTCTCAAATCTAGACAGGTTGAGATTTGCTGACGGGAGCATAAGAACCTCGGAGCTGCGCCTTAGCATGCAGAAGGTAGGACAAATTCCTGCGCCCTGCATAGTGTGAGGCCCACGGCAGGACATATAGCCCTTGCCATATCAGGGAAGTGTGTTCAGGTGGATAGGAGCCTCACTTAGACAAGAGTGCGCTCTTTTACACAGGCCATAACTCAGCACTCCAGGGCAGACACAGTGGTGCTGTGGACTTGGCCTTCTCTGGTACTCTGTGCTTTAGCTTGGCCTCCATCTGTAGACCTGCCCTGGCTGTCAGGTGTGTCACAGCCAAAGGAGGGAGTACAGCAAGCCCTGTTGGAGGCCAACACAGCCCCAGTGCTTGTATCTCTTTGCCCAGAAATTAATCAGGTCAACTCACCTAGTTTCCAGCTGCTCTAGAGATGTTGTCAAACTGAGCCTATTGAATCTAGCCAAAACCAGGAAGTGGGAGAAGGGCATCGGGTGGAGGCTGACCTCTGCAGGTTCACCTGGGTGGACACTGTTCCCAGGGAGGTGGGACAGGATGGTGGGTAGCGCAGGCCATAGGGCCTAGAGAGTACCTAGTGAAAGTTTCAGTTTGAGAACCTCAATTTTAATTTTAATATGAATGGCTACATGTAGTTAATGGCTTTGTAATGGATTATAGGCTTAGATGGATAAAAATACTATAGAAAACAGGAAGCAAATTCTTCTATTATAGGGATTCTTGCTCCATGAATGAGAGCTCTTTCTACTGGAAATACTTGGAATAATTGATGCATGTAAGTTTTCTGAAGAGAGGCCCTTTCCTTGGGTCCTGTCTGAAAGGGGTCCAGTGACAGACACAGACAACACCAAGAGAATGTTACTTACCATTCTTCTTAGGGCTGTTTTCTGTCTTAAGGAGAGACAGGTTGGCAGGAGGAAGGCCAGGTGGCCAGGTTATGCTCTGCAGGGCCTGGCAGTTGCAGTGTTAGGGTGTAAGCCAGCGCAACCCGCGTTGGGTGTGGAAACTGCATGCCCGTGAGGCAGGTGCTTTGACAAGGAGACACTAGAGGTACCCACCAAGCAAGGCTTAGCCGGGCTACTGCTCTGTGCCAGGCACCATCAGATGCCAGACTTAGCCCTGAGCAAACAGACCAAGGTAGAATATGTATTTCCAAGGTGAAGTAATTTTCTTGCCAACTGTAGCTGTCACAGAAAAGACTGAAAGAATTGAGGTATATATTGGAAAGGAATTAACAAAATAATAATCATTTACAGATAAGATTATCTAAAAATTCCAAGAGAATAAACTTAAAAACAAATAAGAATGATATAAAAATACAGTAACTGGGCAAAAGATTCACTTAAAAACTTGGTTTAAATTCCAGGATTTTGGAGTGGTGGGGGGTCTTATGAGAAACCATTAATTGATGGTGTGCATTACAACTTTATGATTATGTTTTAATCTAAAGAAAATTACTAACTGTCTGGGCAAAAGATTCACTTAAAAACTTGGTTTAAAGGATGGAGAGGTAGGAGGGTTGCAAGACTGAGGTCAGCCCAGGCAGTTTATCAGGACCTTGTATCAAATTAAAATAAAATGGCATAGCCACACACATCAGTAATCCCAACAACTTGGGAGGCTGAGGCAGGAGGATCAAGTTGGAGGCCAGCCTGGGAAACTTAGCCAGACCCTATCTCAAAAAATAACAGGGACTGGGATGTAGCTCAGTGGTACAGCACCGCTGACTTCAATTTCCCAGTACCAACAGTAATGATGATGATAAAGTAAAAAGGGCTGAGGGTATAGCTCAGTGGTAGAGCACCCTAGGGTTCCATCTCCAGTACCATAAAACAAAAAGTTTACAACCAGAGCCACCACGCCTGGCTTACAAAGGGTATCTTGTTATAGTCCATGCAGAGTCATGCTGCAGTGTTCCGTGTGGGAAGCGTGTTGCAGGAAGGCTGTGAGAAGATCAGCCAGCTTTACGGAGACCTGAAGCACTTGAAGACATTTGACAGGGGTAAGCCCTGGGTGCACAGCTAGGATCTTGCCTTTTGTGGAGCCTGGTGGTGTCTGTCCTGTTTATTGCTGACTCTGCCTTTCCTGTGACTGAGGGTCAGACCAATAACTCTGCCATGAGCCCACAGTGACAACCCAGAGCATCTACATGGTGGGGTCCTGTCTACTTCTAATGGATCCTTGTATGTCTCCAGGAGTGGTCTGGAACACGGATTTGGTGGAGACACTAGAGCTGCAGAACCTGATGCTGTGCGCTCTGCAGACCATCTATGGGGCAGAGGCACGGAAGGAGTCACGTGGTGCTCATGCCAGGGAAGATTACAAGGTGTGATTTTGGGATGCACTTCAAGCCTGGTGTCCTGTCCCCTGTTGTCATTCTGGCCCCCACCAGTCACATGCCCTTCCCCTCTGCATTTCACTCCATTTTCCCAAAAGTCAATCCAGGAAGATGAGTTTTTCCCTGGTAATTATTGTCACCTTTGTTCTCACTGCCTTCAGAAACACAGGATCTTTCTTGCTTTGAATCAGCATCTATTGCTGTCTGTGGCAGTGTGTTGGAGCAGAATGAGCCTGTTTCTTACTTGGGTGGCGGCCACAGGGGCAGCCAGGTCCATGGATGTAGTGCCTGAGGCTTGGGAAAGGAATCACAGATCTGGTTCTGGTACCGTGTTTTGACAGTGGATTGATGTCTGTGTGGAGCATGCATGTTGGATGCTCTGATGATGGCAACATCAGGGGCTTAGGTGCAGGTGCAGGATAAAAGACACTAGCCCCAGGGTCCCATGAGTAAGATGCAGGCTTTCATTCAGGAGAGTGCAGGTGACATGGATGAACAAAAAAAAAATGGCTAAGCAAAAGTTGCCATGTACTGTGATGCTTCACTGATTTATCCTGCACTGATCAGGTGGATGCAGGAAGAGATGGGCCAGTATGACCCCTGTGTGCCCTAAGGGATGGAAGCTTCTCCAGAGCATGCTTTAGGACTGAGGTGAACAAGCCTTCAGGTGCGAGGCTCAACCTTCCCACTGGGAAAGCTCATCCCTGGGAACATCTGCAGAGCCCAGGGACTGCTGCGGCCACTGGCCTAGGTTCATCTTTTGCCCACCATGTGTCCTCAGTAGCATCAGCCAACTCTATTAGAACACAGGGATTTTTTCACTAGCATTCCGCTACTCTTTGAGAGCTTTTGAAATTTTTAACACAATTGTTAAAATATTTTAAAAAGGTTGAAAGAACTGGGTGTGGTGGCATGCCTGTAATCCCAGTGGCTTGGGAGGCTTAAACAGGAGGATCGTGAGTTCAAAGCCAGCCTTAGCAATGGTGAGGCGCTAAGCAACTCAGCAAAACCCTGTCTCTAAATAAAGAGATCTGGGGATGTGGCTCAGTGGTTGAGTGCCCCTGAGCTCAATCCCTGGTACCACACACCAAAAAAAAGGTGGAAAGAAAAGTTGGAGTTTCCCAGGGTATAGCGCAAAAAGCGAAAGTATTTGATAAACTTTAAGGTGCATAAATGAGATTTAATTCTCAACATTCACCTATGAAGTCATAGAAGATGTAGAAATGGACACTGGACTCATGCTGACCCTTGGCAGGCCCCAAATTGTCAGTGGTGCCCCCACCTGACTGGTCTCTTCACATCATTGTAATGTTCTCCGGGTTTTCTGACGAAGTGCTCTGTGAGTGGTGAGTAATATATACTTCTGGCATCAGGTGCGGATTGATGAATATGATTACTCCAAGCCCATTGAGGGGCAGCAGAAGAAGCCATTCAGGGAGCATTGGAGGAAGCACACTCTTTCATACGTGGACATCAAGACTGGAAAGGTATGTGGGCTACATCTGCTCAGGGATGTCCTTGGTGGTAACTAGCTGAGAGAGGCCACTGTTGGCATATCTGAGGCACCACTGTAAGGACACTGAATCAGGCTTCTCCCTGTGCTGGCTCAGGGAGACTTGATACAAGGTCAGCTCCCTTGTGTGGGCCAGGGCAAGGGCCCTGGGCAGGGAAGAGATGGTGACTCTGCAGAGATGGGGACCCAGCCACTACCAGAAACTCCTCTGGAGCTCAGGGGTCAGGAGAGACTCCTCCCATTCTGTTCCCATGGCCCAGCCTACCTGCCAGCAGCTGCAGAGGAGCCTGGGAGATGTGGTAGCATCCTTTGCATCCCCCATCCCCCTACAGCATGCAGAGAGGCAGCAGGTCAGGAGACCCCGGCTGAGGTCTTGTTCTACTGATGCATACCTGCCCTTTCGACATTTCCCTGGGTTTTAGGGTTTAGAAATAGGCCAGTGCATTGACACATGCCAACAATCCCAGCCACTCAGGAGACTGAGGAATGAGGAAGGAGGATTTGAATTCTAGGCCAGCCTTAGCAACTCAGTGAGGCCCTGACTCAAAAATAAAACTAGGGATGTGACTAAATGGTAAAGGCTCTGGGTTTGATCCCTAGTACAAACAAACAAAAAAAGATTTGGAAATAATTAAGTAATTTTTATCTTTAAGCTTTTCATTGCTTCTAAGAGTTTTATAATCATTTATCTGGGCCTCCAGAAATTAAGGTGAAGTCTGTTGTTACTTATATAGAAACCTAATGTGTCTTTAATTCAGAAGTTGGCCATCTTTCAGCATAAGCCTATTTTTAATAATGTTGGCTTTTTTTTCATTATAAAATACTCATTTTAGAAAGTCTAGAAATTATAAAAAGAATGAAACATTTACATCCATCAGAGATAATCCATTATTTTGAAATACTTTGCAAGTGTTATGTAAGGGTGTATATACTTTTCCTTGGGTACATATTTATGTATATAAAGGCTCATTTTCAAGTAGAAAAAACAGAGGGGATGGCTATCTGTGGATCTTGCTCTACCTGCCCTGATCTTTGTCTTCAAGGTCACTCTGGAGTACAGACCTGTCATTGACAAGACTTTGAATGAGGCTGACTGCGCCACTGTTCCCCCTGCCATTCGCTCCTACTGACTGAACCTAGGGTCGCAGAGGTGGCTTCTGTCGCCATGTGTCACAGCTTGCGCAGCTGCTCCTGTTGAACCTGTCTCGGTAGATGGTAGATTCTGTGCTCGTGAACAAGCAATACGCTTCACAGATGTCATCAGTCCCCTGGCTAGCAGCTTGTAAGGACTCAGCATGGGGGACAGCTTTGCCTGTCTTTATCCCTTGCTTTATCATCCTGGGCACAATCAAAACAAAATGAGCAACCCTTCTTATATTTCCAAACCCATTTAAAACCTGTACTGTTTGGCTGTAGGCATATGTAATTTAGCAAATGTAATTATCTTATTATTCTGTCACATCAAAATCCAGAAATTCTGTTGTGTATTCTTAAGAAGAATTTTCATTCCTGACAGCAAAGGAAGAAAACTTCTCCTTGTTCTTGTCCAGTGGTTCAGGAGGTGAACTTGTGAAGAATTGGAGCGACTAAACCCTGAATGAATGAGACTGATGGAGTAAATGGGTTTCCTTTTAAATCTGTTCTCTTTAAAGGTACAACTCATTTTAAATATGAATCCATTCTTTATAAAATTCTTCCCTAAAAAGTAATCTGATTTTGTTTCTAAAGTGTCCTTTTGATAAGAAGCATTTCATAAGGCAAGCAAGGCAGCACTGGGTTCACCTTGTCTTTGAAGTCGTGTCCTGTAGGGCAGTAGATGTGGGGACCCACATGTCCTCTGCCCTCATGGAGTCACATTAAAGATGCACAGTATGTCTTCTTCCCATGTCCAGTGCCCAGTAACTACGTGTTGAATTCCTTATTTATTCTTTGTGCCAGACACTAAGCTAGACTTTGGAGAATGTTAGGGTGTAATAGAAAATAAAAACTGAATAATAGGGTGGACAATTCAGTAGAAAAGTTTGGATGTAGAATGGAGTTAGTGTCTCTTTAGGTTCTTGACCATAAAACATAAAAGCAGAAAGTTAGTGGAAATCTAGCCACTGAAAATGACCTAGGAGTTGGTTACATAATGGAGCCGTCTCCTCACCTCCAGAAAAAGGGCCATTGTATTGTGCTCAGTATTAAGAAGTGAGCTGTTGGTATGCACGGCAGTGTGGATGAGTCCCAGTCATCTCTCCTGGGAGGAGCAGCTGGGAGAGTACACACTGTGTGATTCCATGGGCGGAAGTCTGGAGAATGCAAACTAGTATCTTGGCAGGAAGCAGCCCAGTGGTTGCCTGTAGACGTGGGATGGGCAAAGGAAACGTGAGTGGTGAATATGTTCATTATCTTCTGCTAATTGTACCTCAATAAAGCTGATAAAAAGGCTGACCAAAAATAAAAGGCTATATTGAGGTAAAATTTCTCATCTCTGTGAATGGCAAACACCCAGATGTTTGCCTTCTTAATGTTTCCTGTGAAGTGGTGGGATGCAAGGATCCATGCATTGCTGGTGGGAAGGCAGAACCTTACAGTCATGGAAGAGAATAAAACTGCATGTATGTTTACTTGCTGAGTCAGTGACACAGCAGTTCTACTTAAAGGAGAAATGAAATGAAAAGACTGCACAATCCTTCATGGTGGCATTCTTAAAACTAGAAACAGCAAGATGCCCATTTCTAATGGAAGGTATATTTATCCCAGAGTGCAGCAGGTGCTGCAGCTGTGAGAAGGAAAGGAAAGGGAGCCCTGTTTAATAGGAAGCAAATACAGATCTGCTCACCTCTTTTTTATTTTTTTTTCCCTTAAGATACCTTAAAAGTAAAGTGAAGGATGAGGCCATGCAGGGGCAGGGCTAGAAGTGGGACCAAATAATGTTTTACATATTTCCAAATATGTAAATGTTTGAACACAGTGTTAGAACACGATGTTAGAATACAGCACGCTATACAGATTTAATGAACTGTAGCACTATAGTTTAAAAACAAGTGAGGCCACTAAGTAATCCTAAATTCCATTCAGTAATCTCATTACTAGTTTTATCGGTATTAATCCTTTGAAATTATGTGCAGTGTGGATTAAAGCTAATAACTATCTTAATGTTAAAACTAAAGACAAGAATTAATTTATAAAAATCTGTAATCCAAAGTATATACAGATAATTGTTTAGACTGAGATGAATGAACTGAACTGCCTTGAATTGGATTCACAGAAGCCATGCCAAAGACAAGAATTTGGAGGGGCTGGGGTTTGGCTTAGCAGCTGAGTGCTTGCCTAGCACGTGCAAAAGCCCTGGGTTCAATCCTCACTAAAACTAAAAAATAAATACTAAAAAAAAAAAAAGAAGAAGAATTTAGAAGTGATCTGGAGAAGCAGTTGAAAAGTAGGAGGTATGAGGCAGGGGAAGCACTGGTGTGTTGCAGAGCTGGTTCTCACTTTGGGCACCAGGTTTCAGGGGTCCAGCCTGTACCCAGGTGCTGCCACCCCAGAGCCTGTCCTCAAGCAGCTGCAGCGCTGGGCCTGGCTGACCTCATGGCATTAGCAGTGTGCAGCCCTCCCGCATCTTGACAGGGATGTTAGAACATGGCACGCTGTATAGATTTAATGAACTACAGCGCTATAGTTTAAAAACAAGTGAAGCCGCTAAGTAATCCTAAATTCCATTCAGTAATCTTATTACTAGTTTTATCGGAATTAATCCTTTGAAATTATGTGCAGTGTGGATTAAAGCTAATAACTATCTTAATGTTAAAACTAATTTTTTCCTGAGAAAAAGACAATAAAATCCAAGAATTAATTTATAAAAATCTGTAGTTCAAAGTATAGGAAATCTAGGTATGAATTCATCCTTATTCATTTAAAGAAATCCACATTTCCTAGTTATGCCCCAGGAGCAGTGGACAGTATCTGGATTGTGGTCTCTATTATCATTCGCCACTAAAAGGAACCAGCGCCGCTTCCTGAGTAAGGGCTAGAAATGGTGCCAGATGAACCCAGAACCGTATTCCAAGACAGAGCAAGGAAGTGCACGGGAGCCTTTGTGGAACAGGTTAAGCATCAAAAGCCTAAGTAAAATAAAGTGCTAGGTAGTTCTCTTTCATACTGAATTCTGAAAGAATAATGACTGAAGCCATGGGAGAAAGTGTCATCCTGAGAGAGGAAGGGGGTACTGGGCACATTCGGTTCTATCCCTAGAATCTACAGCCAGAGGCTATAAGGGGGGCAAGGGGAGTATCATCAGTATGCAGTGTCACAATCCAGCTATTAGAGAACCTGAGTAAGAAAATGAGCTAAAGTGGCTTAGAGCCACTTGTTAAATGTACATAAATGTGTGTGCATGGATGTCCTCAGGTATAAAGACAAAGGGCACATAACTACTTGGTGTCCACTCATTTGAGGGCCCGCTGTGCCAAAGCCAAGGTGAACAAGCAGGTGCATTGTAGAAAGCCTCAGAAACCCAGAACCTTAAGGAAAATGAGGCATGTTCTAACCAGCTTACAGAAATTAGGTCAGCCAACTGTGGGGGGTGTGCACCTGTAAACATAGTGACTGAGGAGGCTGAATCAGTACAAGATCCAGCCAGCCTTGGCAACTTAGCATGACCGTGTCTCAAAATAAATAGGACTGGGGATGTGGTAAAGGGCCCTTGGGTTCAGTCTCCAGTACCAAAAAAGAAAAATTAGGCCAAAGACCCAAAATATCTGGGTACATGACATGATTATCATTAATGTAAGGAGAGTGTTATCTCTCGTTTAATTTCTTGACTTCTGGAACGTTTAGACCAGACCTGGTTAGGAGGAATTGAATCCGAGATAGGTGAGGAGATAGGTGTCTGCACCTGAGGAAATGGCCTGCCTCTTACTGTTGCAGAGGGCTTGGGTAGTGCCCAACCTTTATGGCAACACCCCACCTCCAAGTCACAGGGACTGTGGAGAGGACTTGTAAGGCATAGTAGCTTAGAGCAGCTCAGCCCAAGGGCTGGTGTGACTCAGCACAGTTCCTTTGTGAATGTGTCAGGGCAACATCTCTGTCCTGAACGCATCCTTTGTGCATTTATATGGGAACATGTCTTTAATCCTTAATTTCTTCCTGGTTAACTTCCCTTCTCAGTCAGCCTTGCCTTGCTGCTGCTGAGAGATGCCAGAAAAGTACAGAGAATCTGGCCTTGAACCTCCTCTTTTGCTTGTTTGGCCTTGGGCAAGCCAGTAACTTCTCAGCCATACTTTTCTCAGGTGAAGTGCGGGCCAGGGTGAAGACAAAGTGATGTGAGCCTCTTCTCAGCATCTGCTTTCCCTTGAATGGATGAACTACCCAGACTGCAGAACAGCACTCCTTTGTGCCTCTTAGGATGGAAGACTGTAGTTGTGGCACTCCAGGCTGGTGAAGCCAGGAACCTGCTGGGTGGGGCTGAGGATTGCTGCTGGAAAACACATTCAGCCACAAAATTTTAGTTGTTAGTGTTTGGAGAAGAGAAAGGGAGGCCGAGATATGGGGGAGAGGATAAATATATATTTCAGAAGAGAAAATTAGAAGCCACTTGAATTCAGTAAATGATGGGGGAAAAAAAAAAAAAAACAAAAAACTCGCCGGTTAAGGTGAATGCCAAAGCCACAGGATAGGCTAATTTATTTTATTTTAAGTATTTGAAAAAATGTCTCAATAGATGCCTTGTAAACAAGCGAGAAAGGCAAAAGGCAAACAGGACAGGACGACAGTGTGGAAGCTGATGGGATCTATACCTGTGCCCTGTGTGCTGAATAATGGATCAAGGTCCACAGGGAATAAGTCTCAGGTGACAATAAAAGGCCTTGTCCTTGCAAGTGAGGTAAAAGCCCACGAGGAAAGCTTACCATATCCGAGGGACGAATGCTCCCATTCGCTGGATCAGGAATTGAAGAGCTGGGTAGTCCTATGAAAGGAGTTCATTTAGACCCTGAACTGCATTAAGACACAGGCCTGGGTGGGAGGTTCGTCTGACGGCATAAGCAGGAAGGACCCAGGAGAGTGACCCCCAAACTGCGCATTTCCCAATATGGAAATTCATGCTAAAGGCACACTTTAAGCTGCACTGCAGAGTTAGTACCCAGAGAGAAGGCCCCTTGTCTTGTGTTTAAGGACGCAGTCTAGGAGGCGCGGGTCAAGGGAGACCTTGATGCTCTTCCCTCCGAGACCCCGGACTCCTCCGCTGCCTTTCCGGCTAGCTGAAGTCACCTGTGCAAAGGCGTAGGCTCACGCTTCACCAACCTCCGGAAGGGGGCGGTGGAACTGAAAAGCGCGAGTACGTGGAAATTTGTATCCTTCCCTCCTGAGCTTTCAGCGTTGGCGTCCTTGGTTTTCGCGTTCACCCTTTTCTCTCTCTCAACGTGATGTCATCAACTCAACAGAAGCCCTTGGGCATCACTTCCCATCCCGGGTCCGAGCGCGCTCCGGAAGCCCGGGTCCGGCTGGGCGGACGCCCCGGCGTTGCCTGGCAACGGGGTCGCGAAGGATTGGTCGCGTTGGGACACAGGACCCGAGGAACGACACTTCCGGCACTCCCGGAAGTGTCGTGCGCGGCGTGGGCGCCAGGCTCCGCCCCCAGCAGAGGCGGAAGTGGAGCCGCCCGAGTCTTGCCGCGTTGCCGCGGGTTCCAGGGTCCATGGCCGCCTACTCCTATCGCCCTGGCCCGGGTTCCGGCCCGGGCCCAGCTGCGGGCGCGGCGTTGCCGGACCAGAGCTTCCTGTGGAACGTCTTCCAGCGGTGAGACGGGGCCGCCCGGGCTTCGTTCTTCAGCCTCCTCCCTCACCTTCCTCGCCCTCCTCCCTCGACCTACCCGGGCTCCTCTCCTGTCACCCCCTCCTCCTTCGCCTCCTCCCCGGCCCCTCTCCCTCCTCGCCCCTCCGGGTGCGCTGGACCCGTCACGAGATGCAGAGCAGAGGGCGCAGAGCGGCTCCTGCTCGGTTCAAGGAAGGCAGTAACAGGCCAGACCCTGCGCTGTGGAAGAGGGTAGCAGCCCAGCAAGGGCAGGTAGACCTGCGTCCCTGGAGCAGGTGACGGCTGGCAGCGTCCTAAGTCCCAGCTGTCCTTTTGAACAAATGACCGTAATTTGAGTGACTCATTGCCTAGGAATGATTTGACTGCCCCGGAGAATCTTTCAGCGTTTGTGAAAGACAAACTGGTGCAGGTGTGAATTCAGACCCGGAGGCCTGACACTTAGGGTCTTGGGGAAAATTTCTTAATCCCCCGCGGGCATGTGGTATGTGACATTCTGACAGCCAAGTGAAAGGTCTACCTGAGGAATGTCCCAGAACTAATGTAAAGTAATGGGACAGATAGTTTGTTTCTGCCATATTTTGCTTTTCCTGCACATTTCATCACCAACTTTCCTGGTCTTCTTGATTTTGTAGAGTTGATAAAGACAGGAGTGGGGTGATATCGGACAGTGAGCTTCAGCAGGCGCTATCCAATGGTGAGTCGAAGCCTGATCCTCTCACAGTAAGCAATTTCCCTTCTGGAATTCATTTTTCCAAGTACAGAGGAGTCATTCAGACTAAATTACTATAACCTATACATGGAAGAGGTGTTTCTGACTTGCCGGTTGGTGGCTTCCTGGTTTTCATCACTGCTTCTGCTCCGCACACCATGGAGTTGATGCAGGGGAGCATAGAGACAGGGTTTCTGGAAACAGCAGCCAGGGTGTTGCTTCTGAGTGAGGGGTGGGAAGTGTAGCTTTGTGCAACAGAAATCCTTCAGGTGTCTTGAAGGTCCTTGAATGTTCTCAGAATCTTAGTGACTCCTCTGGAAAGGGTCATCGAGAGTACTAGGTAATTATTGAAGAATTTGGAGATGGTCTACATAGCACTTTTGCTTAGGAATTGCTGAAACTCTAGGCCCAAATTGGGAAGTGAAGAAATTGGAGGCATTGGCAGCAGAATCATGACAGATATTCTTAACTGTGTGGGGAATACTATGCATTTAGGGGCTGGGAGGATGGTGGCCCTTGTATAGGGTGTGTTGGGAACTCTGTGGAGTCATTCTTGATGGCTGAAGTGTGGTAGCTTTGGAGGCATTTTTCTTTGTTAACTGCCTTTCATAATTCCTCAGATACGGCCAACTTTTCTGATTAATATAGTTAAGGCTTGCTGTTATGGTTTAGATTTGGAATGTCCCCCAAAAGCTCATGTGTTAGTGCAGCAAATGTTCAGAGGTGCAATGATTGGATCATGAAGGCTGTGGCCTCATCAATGCATTAATCCATGTGATGAATTAATAATTGGAATGGATTCCTGGGTGATGGTAAAAACTATAGGCAGGTGGGGTGTAGCTGAAGGAAATAGGGTGCTGGTGTTATGCCCTTCCCCACATCTGTCCCTGACCCTTTCCTCTCTCTCTTTGCTTCCCCTCTGCTATGAGCTGAGCGGCTTTCCTCCACCATGCATTTTCACATGATACTCTGCCTCATCTCAGACCCATAGCAATGGAGTCAGTCAACCATGGATTATAAACCTCTGAAACTTTCAGCCAAAATAAACCTTTCCTCCCCTAAGTTGTTCTTCCTGGTAGGTGTTTTGGTCACTGGTAACTAACACACTTGTCTTTCCAGAGGCATATAATTTAAGCTGGGTAAAGGGACAGTTTTAAGGTGTGACAAAAATGTCAAAAGGTCTGGCTTTGTTAGTAGGAAGCACTTCAGTGTTGTAGTTGGTTGGATGAGGGAGTGGGCAACACTAGGCTGCTGGACACTGCCTGGCAGCATTGAGGAGAAGCTCTTGCCACTGGCATGTGTCCGGTATTTAGTGTTCATTTCTGAGAACATGGGTTTCAGCGTGACACACTTACCTCAGAATGGCAGATGCCATAGACACCATTCCCCTGCATCCAGCCTATGTGGACCTCAGGCACTAGGTTATCATTTCACACATGTTTATTTAGATTGTTTGGGCAGCCGGATTGCATTATCTCTGCCCTGACTATTGTGCTTATTGATTTTTCTCTTCTCTGGTCATCATTAACCCCTTTCAACTGTGTTTGATGTCTCCAGTGCTCCTTCTACTCTGAGGAGAAGCAAGGCAGGGTTACTACTAGAAAGGCCTCAAGAGCATCTGCTATCTAGCAGGCCACACTTTAGCACATCTTGGCCTCAGACTTTCCAAGTGAGGAATGGATGGTTTTCTTCACAACATGCTGTGCATGTGTGGTGGAAGGCCATATGAGCCCTATTGAGGCGTGCATCAGAGACGACACTTTTTGTGGCCTCTTTACCAGGACTGGTAAAGGTTTATGGTCTCTTTTGTGTCTCTTTGTTTGTCTGTTCCAGAATACTGACCAAGATACAAGATCACTTTAGATCTTGTGTCTTGTGTGAACCTTTCACAGGTGGTGTTCACCCTCACTAGCAGGACAGCCTGTCTACCCTGGAGGGCTCAGTTGGGCCCTGGTGCTGCCTGGATCCACATCCTGCTCTCCCTGTTTCAGTAGTGTGAAGTTGAACAAGTATTTAACCTGCCAGCGTCAGTGTCCTCACAGCCTCTGGGAGAGCAAATTGAGGAAGTACAGTCAAAGTGCCTCCCTCATGCTTGGAGACAAGAGCCAGCTAGAGTGTCGATGGGTGCCACCGCAGGACAGTGGCTGTGTCTCTGCTGCCACTATTGGCTTAGGAGCCAGCTCCAGTGGTGATGGACAACAGAGCTGCTGCAAGGGCTACCGCAGGGAGGGCTGTGGCCATGGGGCATGCAGCAGCACAGAGCAGGTGTTCTCTGGCCCTGTGAAACAGCTTGCCGCAGACTGTCCTGAGGGTAGTATGTGTTTTTTATTTTTTATTTCCACATTATTTCTTGGGATAATGAGAAATGAATTTTTCTCAAGCCCATTTTTTTGTGCTTTTGAAGTAAGTTTGTCTTAATATGACATTGTTATAATTTGAAGGAGCACTTTTTAACTACTTGAAAGAAAAAAAAAACTTACCTTCTTTTAAGGACATTTTACCAAATAGCTTTCTAGTTCATCCTAAAAGAATTGAGATAATTTAGACCATACAAGCAGCAATTTCCTATAGAATAATTATCCATTCACATCACCGTTCTTCTCCAACAGAGGTCCCATTTCATGGGTGATGGAACAGAGGTCTACCTGTGCTTTGATCCCTGGGTAGGTAGGGTCAGCTCAGCAGACAGGCTACCCATGTTCCTAAGAAGAGCCTGTTGGGTGACTGGCCCTCATCTGTCTCCTGGGAACTTAGCTCCTAGAATGTTTGGGAAGAGTGCTTTGTCTCGCCAAGATCTGTGAACTGAGCTGTGCCTCTTGGCCTGGGTGGTTTGTACCAGGTTGCGATTTGTGGCAAACACCTGCTTTTGTCTGTAGGCAAATGGAGCTCAGTGACTGGCCCCAGGTAAGCCCTGAACCCCCAGGAGTATGTTCTGTTCATGTTGAACAGAATTTTCATGTTTTTTACCACCAGTTTTTCTACTCAAATATTTACCCAGGGACCTTATTCTGTAACCCAGTGTGTGGAGGCCTATTCATGTATTCAAATATATCTGATCTGGGTATAAAATTTTTTAATGGGATTTTCTCTTTTAGACTCATCCAGGATGGTCAGAATTAATTATTGTCGTATATTTAAGACAATCTCTTTGCAGACTTCCAAGTAGATCATAATGGAACTACTTGTTAATTCTGTCTCCTTGGAGAAAGATGAAGTGCCCTGGACAGTGTCCTTGACAGTGGCCCTGTGGCAGCTCTCACAGGTGCAGTTGAGCAGGCTCTGGCTAGACTCTGGAGGCTCACATCTGGTTTCCCATCCACTTTTCCCTTGCTGCTTTTACTGTGTCTCCTCTGCGTAAGAAGCTGTGACCATGTGTCTTATCTTAGAGAGTTGGTCAGCTGTGTCTATGATCCCCAGAAACACTCTCAGCCAGAACTTCAGAGAGTTAGCGTCCAGCTTGGTGGTCATAAATAGCTTGCATGTCTGGCAGGACATGGGATATTGCCCACTCAGGGCTTGGGCTCCTCCTAGTTGTGACAACGGGAAGATCTTATGGTGCTCCTGAAGCCAGGCTCCTGCTGAGAGCCTCTTTAGGGGTAGGGGGAAGGCACTGGTTTAATTGTTGCTATGTTTGTTTGCAGGCACATGGACCCCGTTTAACCCAGTGACTGTCAGGTCAATCATTTGTAAGTATTACAGACAAGCTCCCCTGGGAACTGCCTAGATAAGCTTGTGCTTTCTGGAGTCTACTCAGGAGGTGCTGGCCCTGGTACGCCACATCCTGCCTCTGGACTTCTCACCTTTGTGTATACAGCTTTTGCAGTTTTTGGTTTTAATTTACGGTTTAACTGGCATTTTCAATTTTTGAATTCTAAAAGTAGTATGTGTATAAAATTTTTAAAGTTATTGGGCTGGGGATGTGGCTCAAGCGGTAGCGCACCTGCCTGGCATGCGTGTGGCCCAGGTTCGATCCTCAGCACCACATACAAACAAAGATGTTGTGTCTGCCGAAAAACTAAAAAATAAATAAAAATTCTCTCTCTCTCTCTCTCTCTTAAAAAAAAAATTTAAAGTTATTATATAGTTAATTTTTTATTATAATGAATTTTTAAAGTTATTATATAGTTATTAATAGTTAATTTTGATAGTCTCTTATTGCTGGTTTTTATGATTCTCTCTTTTATTTCTTTGAATATTGTATGTTATGGTCTCTTACATTTTAAATAAATGTTTTTATTGGAGAATTAAGTATTTGCCAGGCATGGTAGCACACATCTATAACTCCAGCTGCTCAAGAGACTGAAGCAGGAGGATTGCAAGTTTTGAGGCCAGCCTGGACAAGTTTGCAAGACTTGGCTTAACTATAAAAAGGGTTGGGGGTGAAGCCCAGTGGTAGAATTCTTACTTGGCATGCTCAAGGCCCTGGGTTCAGTCCCCAGCACTGTGAGAGGGGGTTACTTGTTAAACTTGTCTACTTCACCATGTGTTCCTGACACTCCTGAATCCTTGAGAAGGTGATCCATGTCTGACTGTTATTCCTGCTGAACCTCATGCATGGCTAATTTCCTTAGTATTTTAGTATTTTTATTTGCTTTGTGGGTTCGTATGTGGCTGAACTCAATGTGTGTAAACCAAGCTTGATCTGGGAATACATCCTCCAGAAAAAAATTCATATTTCTGCAGCCAGGGTGTGGGTTTCTCAGTTTGAGTCTCCCTTGCTACAGAAGTAGCAGGAACTTGAGCTCCAGATCCAAGAGGGAAGGGTTCACTGTCACACAGTCTCAGGGAAAGTTCACTGTTCCACCAGTTTCTGGAGAAGATTTCCTGTTCTGAGAGATGATTTTTTTCTCTATTCTACTCTTCCAAAGATGTAGTTCCCTTCCTGGTTGCCTTTGACATGGAACCTTGGGTCCTGTGCCTCTCCTTCTGGGTTCCTCTCTGTCTGTGAGCTTAGTGCTGTATTGCAGGGTGCGTGGTGTAAGCCACAGGCACTGCATCTTGCTGTGGGTAAAGACATTGAGGTAACGCACGGGTGTGCTGGCAGGGATGCAGCCTTCCGCACCAGGAAAGATGCCAATGGAGCAGGGATGGGCATGTGCACTTCCCTGCCAGAGGCTGGCCTGGAAGCTGCTATTCTGCTCAGCCTCCGCTGGGTGGCTTTCGTTGGCATTGCCAGGTACAGAAGCAGGCTGGAGTGGCACGCACCAGCATGTCGCTACCACACCTCTGTGCAGTCCACGCTTGGGGCGGTGATGTTGAAAACAGCCCATCGTTACAAACATGCTCCTGCTCTGTGTGGAGGAATCTGAATGCTCAGTCCTCACATGTTCTTTGATGATGGGATGTGCTACTGACCTGAATGGACTTCTATATGATCCAGGAGCATTCTTCCTATAGTCTGGCCTTAGTCTCCTAAAACAACAGGCAATTTTATCATTTTCTCTATAGCAGCACTTCAGACTGACTTGTTTTATTTGTTAGCCATTTTGCAGTAACATGTAATTGTATTCAATGATTCTTATTATCTGGACCTGGAATTACACTGATTTTTTTTTTTTAATGAAAAATGTGGACTTATTTTTTTTAAAAATTAAATCCTAATGGGAGAGTAGGCTAGGTCTCTTTTTAACTAGAATAGATTCCCCTTGTCCCTGGAGGACTGTTTCTAGCTCCTGAGGGGTGGCAGAGTTTACCGTCTTTTGGGACTGGGAGTCAGGAGCAGGGGCTCCTGGACCTCTACACCTTGGTGACCTCAGGTGAGGCGAGCACAAGCAGAAAGTCTGCTTTCCAGAGCCTACTTCAGTGGAAAGTGTTGTTTTGACTTTTACTGTGATTCCACCCACTGTCTGCCACACAGCTGTGTCTGCGTATTATTATTCTGGGACCAGGGCTGGGTGACTGTCCCCTAGGCCTCCACCAGGCAGGGCCCCATTCAGCCAAGTCCTGTTTGTGAGCTAGCACACAGTGATCTGCAGGCTGGCCCCACACTGGCGTTCTGAAGGACAGCTCAGAGACCTGCCTGACACTGTTCCTCTGTCTCAGCACTGATACTCTGTCCCTCTGCCTTAGCTATGTTTGACCGGGAGAACAAGGCTGGCGTGAACTTCAGCGAGTTCACAGGCGTGTGGAAGTACATCACAGACTGGCAGAATGTCTTCCGCACCTATGACAGGGACAACTCTGGAATGATCGACAAGAACGAGCTCAAGCAAGCACTCTCAGGTTTTGGTAATTCACTTGTCTTGATTGTGTAGCATATTTCATTTTGGAACCTAGGAGCCCCTGAATTTTATTTTACTTTGTTCAACTTACAGATTTTTAACCCAGTCCATGTGAAATTTCTGTTTATGTTACATTGTACAGTGTCATATTTTGATAGTATTTATTGTATATATTTGACGTGTAGTCTTTTGTTCAGTTTTTCATCCAAAATGAGATAAGGGCTATGCAAACCTTCAGTTTTTTTTCCTATGGGGTGATTTGATGAACAAAATTGAGAATGGGGCTTTTGAAACAATTTCAAGTGGAAGTGATAAAGTGGTGTGGGACAGTTTATGCTTCCTGATGCATCAAAACACACAGTGATAAAATGACCCTAAGAGGCAATTCTGTAAGTTATCAGCTCTGACTCTCAGTCCTTCCAAACTGTGCCTCAATGGAGAGTTAGAGCACATGCCCATTCTCAAACGCGCTGTGTGTCTATGTGGCATGTGTCCACATGTGCACACTCCTGTTGCGTGCAGGTATGTGACAGCATGCCATGCTTCTCTTGAGTGTTCAGAGTACTTGTCCAGAGCTCACCCAAGGGTTCCAGAACTGATCTTGGGCCTGAAAGGAAGCTGCGATTTTTACTTACAAAGAAAACACCAAGCTGTTTGGGACCAGCCCACAGCTGCTCATAGTTCCACCTAGAATTATCTAGAGCAATTTTGCTTAGTGCTGTCATCATCTGGTCTGTGTTACCAAACTTTTCTGTGCTCACTTACAAGTGTTCTTTAGGAAAAATATGAAAGATTAGACCACAGTCCACAGTGCTGTGCTGTTGGAGTCTTGTGATGCTCAAGTTCGGTATTTCCTGTGGTTGCTAACATAGCTCTTGCACCTCTCCCCACTTCTTCTCCCAGCATGTGGCTCATGGCCATCTCCTCCCCCTCTCCCTTCTCACCTCATGAACTTGTCCACAGGGCTGATTTTAGGAAAGATTGAGAACAAACGGGTTGTGAGGCAGGATTTGGACAGGACAGCTCTGGGTTAGAATTTGGGATACACACAATCTTGTTGCATCTTTGTGTGGGGGCCTGGTGAAGTCCTGGCTGGCCTGTCTCCTGGCGTGGTGGAAGAAGGGTCTCCAGGCAGAGTGGCCGCATAGCTTAGAGAGCGCCACTGAAGGCACAGGAGGCCCAGCACAGCCCAGTGGGGCAAGTGCCGTATGGCACTGGGGACAAAGCTGGCCCATGTGCAGTCTCAGTACCACAGAATGTCAGCCTGCCCCACATCTAGATGCCTTGGAGCTTTGCTTAGCACAGTGACCACTGGGTCATTGGAACTCAGTGGAAAAATTGATGTGAATGGTGCTCCTCAGCTTCTCAGACTCGCTGTGACCTGTTCAAGCCAAGGATGCTTTAGAACCTCTGTTTCTGTAGTCGTGGTGAGGGTGTGGCTGGTCAGGAGCACAGGCTGCCTCAGAGGCAGACCCAGAGTCCTCTGGCTTCCCGGGTGCTTTCTGGAGGAGCAGTGTCTTGTGTAGTACCTCTCTGGTGGTCCTGCCAAATTTCTTCTTGAGTTTGGTTTCTGGTTTTCCAGGGTTGTCCCCCCTTTTCTTCCATGAAAAGGAACATGGTCATCTTGTTTGCACAAGTCTGAGGCTCGTGTCCCCTGCATCCCTCGTTCTGCAGCTGGAGTAGGTGGATACCTGCCTAGGAGGTCAGTTACTTTGGAAGATTTTTGGTTGTAACTGTTAAGATTTGGCCTTAGAAGCAAAAATTCCTGCTCTGTTTTGACTCCTGAGAATGGGTGTGTTGCTCTCAGGTAACAGAGCAGCTCAACAGTGGGCGTCTCAGACCAGCCCAGGTGGCATTGTGTGACTCTGGTAGGACCACTCAGTGGATCTGATGACCCTTTCACTGTGTATTTAAACTTGTTAACATGGCCAGGTGTGGGCGTGACACCTTCCCCAGCGTGGCTGCTGGCAGGCTCTTCAGGTACAACGTGGTTGTTGCTGACTTGAAGTTTGGCTTACCTACATTAAGCTGTCCCTTCTGGTGGGCAGTGCATTCAGAACCCCTGCTTCCCCAGGATTCCCCTGGGCTCCCCTCCCCCACCCTGCCTCTGGCAACTTCTGCAGTTCAGTTTTTTATAATGAAAACTGTGGAAGTATAATCCACCTCCACTTTTCCGTCACTCATTTTCAATCTTTTCTCTACATTTGCTCCTCCCCTTTGTGGCTGAAGCTTTCTGAGCAAGTTCGAGGCTCGTGTCCCATGCATCCCTCGTTCTGCAGCTGGATTAGGTGGATACCTGCCTAGGAGGTCAGTGTGAGCAGTGCATCTTACGAGGTTAACAGCGTTTTTACGACCGTTGTGCCTGACCAGTAGCCCCATCTCCTTTCTCATGGCGTCGTCTGGTTGGTGCCATACTGGCCACCGATGGTTTAACTTTCCTCCTATTTCCTTGTCCACTGGTGATCACTGCTGTCTGTCCAGTTTCTCCCAGGTCATGTTGTGACTGCAGTGGTGCCATGCTATTCCTGGTGGTGGGGCTGATGATGGGCAGGGGACTCTGGACTGGTGCTGACCATCTGACCCACAGGCTGCATGGCCTGGACCAGGAGTGTCCACTGGGCAGTTTCTGGTGGTATCTTCCTCATGTTAGTTCCTGGGTTGCTGCATCACCAATGGCTATTTGGAAGTAGACACAGGAGGCGTATTCCTATCCCCTATCCAGGAGGCCACTATTGCCTTGGGGGCTCTAGGAGAGTGGGCTTGGCAGAGGTGAGAAGGACTGCCTCACTCAGACCCCGCAGCCCCTGCTTCACCTGGTCTGTCCAGAGAGGGTCCAGACTTCCCAGTGGTGTGCCCCGCTGGTATGGAATTGTCCTCCTGCTGCTTCTCACAGGCTGGGAGGCCTCAGGTGACCTTGCCCTTTTGGGTAGGGGCAGCTTAGCTGGAACCGGAATGGATGATGTATGTTGCAGTCAGAGCTGTTTGGTTCAAGAGCAGTATTTCCAGAGTCAGCCCTCATCCTGTGGAGAGAAGGTACTCCCCAGGTGGGCAGCTGGGTCTGCAAGGTGGCCCTTGCCCCCACGTCTTGCTGGCCAGGCCTGACTGGGTGGTGGCCATGTGCAGAGTGCCTCCTGGCTCCCACACAACCAGGTTTGTCCTCCAGTTGAGCCTTTTTTCCTGGTCATTCTGTTCATTGCTTGCTCTTCCCATCTTTCTCTGTTCTTGCTTTCCCTGCAAGAGTGCCAGAGACCTGGAGTTGATTCCAGGATCTGTGGAGTTGTTTCTGGAAATTCAATGTTCAGACTGCAAATTCTGTATCTTTGTTCCCATCTCATTGGCCTTCCCCAGCCCTGACAGGAAATCCGCAATGGCTCTTGTCACCCCATCCACACCGTGGATCTGCAGTGCCCTGTGGCCGTGTTCCAGGCTCCATCCTCATCAGGTCAGGGCTCAGCCAGGGGTGCTGCCTCACCTGCCAGGTAATTGATAGGTGTAAGGAGATGAGTGCAACTGTTCCCTACTTGCTCTCTTTCTGATGACAGTTGGGGGTCCCACTCAACCTGCAGGGACTCATTTAGTGGTCCTGTACTTAAATACCAGCTCCCCCTGAGTGCTCTGGAAGGTACTATGAACATGTTTGTGTGTTTTGAGTCTTTATAGTGAAATGATGAATAAGTGTTCATACAGGTAATTAACTGTGAGATTCAATCAGACAATAGGTGTGCATATCCTTGCAAAGACCCCAACAAGACTGAAAACCGGTAAAAATATATTGGCACCTGGATCTTGTCTCCTGAATCAGTAAGGATACCATGGCCACACAGGTAGTGGGGGGTGAGGGAAGGAATCAGGTGAGCTGCAGGTAGTAGGGGGTGAAGAAGGAAGCATGTGAGCTGTGTCCTCCTGTGCCTCCGTCTACATCTGGTTCCTCCGCTTTCCTTCAGACCCTCTCTCCACTGGAGACCTTCTCCAAACATGCTCAGTAAATTGGAGAGGAATCAGGGCTCAGTGACCCTGGGGATTTTGAACTTGGTGAGGCCGACTTTCCTTGTGTCCTCAGTTCCCTGATGTCATGTGCCCTGTCATTCCCCTTTCCTCATGTCTTCATTTGTTTCACTGGAACCCTCTGTGGTATTTTAGCTCTCGGAGCGCTCTCTGGTAATAAGCAGCCAGGGCAGCACGTCCTTCGGGGCTTCGATAGATTGGCAGACTAGTGAGGTGCTCCAGGGGCTCGGGTTGCCATGCCTGGCTGCCCTGTGGGGAGGGTGCAGTTAGCCAGCAGATGCTTGTGCTCAGGAGAACAATAGGTTGTCCTACAGGGAGAGGGCACTGGTCTCTAGGTAAGTCACATCGTAGTCCTGGAAACCAAACGTGTTTTGGAATGATTGGTCAGGCAGTGTCTTTCAGCTCTCAGGGTGCGTTGAATGGAGTGGCAGTTTTTGCTGTGGGGAGGCTGGCGAGTAGGCAGGGGGCATGAGCATTGGTGCATTCCTCCTACCTCGTCTGCCCATCTTGACTCTGACTTTTCCTCTCCCAGGCTACCGGCTCTCTGACCAGTTCCACGACATCCTCATTCGGAAATTTGACAGACAAGGACGAGGGCAGATTGCCTTTGATGACTTCATCCAGGGCTGCATTGTCTTGCAGGTAACAGAGTGGCTCTGTGGGGGCTGGGCAGGAGCAGGGAAGGGTTCACACCAGAGCAGGATACCTGGCCTTCCATGAAATGTATAAGGCATGTATAGGAGTTTCTTTTTGCTTTTTTGTTTTGGGGTTTTTTTAATTTTTTTAAAAAGCATCATATTTATTTATAGTAGCTGGGTTCATTTTGACAAAATCACGCATGCATGGAATTTGATGAACTCCATTTCAGTCCTCTTTCCCTCTTCCCCCAGTTGGAGTCCAGACTGAGGGCACTCCTTGCTGACTCTGGAATCATTGAGAGACATTGATGGCATTGGGTTTTTAGACATAATGTAGAATTTTGGTAATTGTTCTTAATTTTTTTTCCCATTAAATGATAGATCAGTTAAAGTGTGTTGCCTTTGGTCAGCTAAGCGCAGCCTCCAGGTTCTTTAACAGGTTCTCACTGAGGGTCGGAGAAAGGTCTGCCGGCTCTCATGCCTCTGATTTGGAGGGGGAAAGCCTTGCCTTTGCCTGCTACTCAGTGTTCCCTGATGTTGGGTTGTGCTTCCCATGTCCTCTGAACATCCAAGAAAGAGGTGCAATGTGAGCTGTCCTTTGGACTCTCTGAAGTGCTATGGGGTCAGGGTTTTAATTTGTTCTGTAAGTCAACGTCTGGCCCTTCTGCTGCCTTGGTGAAGGTCTCCTTTGGGTTCTCAGCAACAGGGGTCCCGCTAGGACCCCGGCCCACTAGGAGTTCTCTGCCCCCAGACCCGTGTCCTGTAGCTCTGGGGGATGTTGTCAGTTCTGGGTCAACACTCACCCTGGAATGTTAGAAGGGGAGAATCTAAAAGCAAAAGCCATGTCCCATAAGTAAAAATTTTATCAGAATGATTTCCTTCATCTGCTTTTTTTTTTTTAAAGGCTTTTGAGGGCTGGGGATATAGCACAGTGGTGGAGTGCTTGCCCAGCATGCATAAGGCCCTGGGTTTTATCCCCAGCACTGCAAAAAAAGAGTTTTTTGAAAATTAATTTAAAAAAAAAAATACAACATGAAAACTTATAGAAATCTTAGAAAAATACAAATAAAATTAAAAGGAAAATTACCTGTGTTCTTTGCATTTTGTTTTGTTGGGCGGTGCTGGGATGGAACCCAGGGCCTGAAACATGCTAGGCAGGTGCTCTGCCTCTCAGCTACAGGCCCAGGCTTCCCATTGTTCAGTCAGAGTTAGCTGTTGCTGGTGTTCTCTTGTACTGACAAACGTCACTAAACAGAGAGACATGTTCTGAGCAATACACCATTGGGAGGGCAGAGCCTGCTGCACACCTAGGCTAGGTAGGTTAGCCACTGTGGCAGTCAGCTTTCTTTTATGTAACAAATATCTGAGATAAACCCACTTAAGAGGAAAGGTTTGTTTTTGCTTACAGTTTTTGGAGGACTCAGGCCTTGTCTGCTTGTCTCTGTGGCTTTTGGGACTATGGGGAGGCAAGAGTGCATGGCAGAGGAATTATCTTGTGATGGCTGTGATGCGAATGCAAGGGAAGGCAGGACTGGTATCCCCATGTCCCCTTGCATCCCCTTGCAGGGGACACCCCAATCAGCCCATTTCCTCCCACTGGGCCCTATCTCCTGAAGGTTCCATCACCTCCCCATCTGGCCATGCCTGGGGGTCAAGCCTTCAACGCATGGACCTTTGTGAGACACTGGGTCCAAATTGTACCTGTTACCAACTCGGAGGACTGGCAGGAAGACCACAAGTTCAAGGCCAGCCCGGCAACTTAGCAAGGCCCGGTCTCAAAATAAAATAAGGACTGGGGCATGCTTCGCATTAGAGCACTCGCCTAGCATGTGTGCAGCCCTGGGTTCAGTTCTTAGGGCCACAGAACAGAAAAGAACCAAAGCAGCGTGGCCCTGGCCACATGTTGCACACTGTTGACTGGAGCCACCTGGTAGTGCATGACTGTCGCTTGTGTTGTGCTAGCAGTTCTCACATAGGAACTCGCAGTTGGTGTCCTGGAGATAGGACTGGCAGGCGTGGCTGACCCTCAGGGTGCTGGGGTTGTCAGGTTCTTTTGTCATACAGAATTCCCTTGTGCCTGTTTGTCCTGTCCTTGCATTCTTTAGAGTGTGTCGGGGCTGCTGAGTCCACCTCTGGAGTGGCACTCTCAGCCTGTCTTCAGGGTTGAGCGGTTGTCCCTCTGCTTCTGGCTGGCCTGGGCCCTCGGGCTGTTGGAGGGCAGGGGCAAGTCAAGCAGAAGGTGGGGGGGCTAGAGGGGCTGGCCCTCCCCTGCTGGGCTTGGTTTCCAGGGTAGGAGCCCGTGTTAGGACTGTCTTCCCTGGCCCAGTTCACCACCAAGATGCGCCCTCGGGAGGAGCCACCCATGGGGATGCTTCTGAACTTTGATCAGCCCATGACCCAGAATGGGAGGAAGTACCCATTTGGAGTCTAGTGGGGCCAGGCCTGCCCTACCCTTCATCCCATGTCCTCAGGCTCCACTGCCCCGTAGACAGTGCTGAGGCTGCTTCCACCTGTGCCTCTGGCATGGGTGTCCATCACCCATGTCCCTCTCAGGGATGAGGGACATGTGATTCTGAGGTTGTGTTTCCAGATGTCCAATTTTGTCCTTCTGTTCAGCACACACCAAGCTCTAAATGCCTGTTCTTTTCCCAGAGGTTGACGGACATATTCAGACGTTACGACACGGATCAAGATGGCTGGATTCAGGTGTCCTATGAGCAGTATCTCTCCATGGTCTTCAGCATTGTATAATGCACGCCTCGTGGACAGCAGCACATCATACGAGAAAAGACTGAAAATGCCAAATTCCTTCCCTGTAACAAATGGGGACCCAGATGCAGTTAGATGCTGTTCTTCCGTCGGATCTTGTGTGGTTAACACTTGGGGACCTGGCTGTACATATGTGGATGAGCTGACTAGGGCTTTGCAGTCGTAGCAGCCGCCATGTCAACCTAAGAAACACTGGGTTTGCTGGCCTGCTAATTGTGCCATGAGGCAAAACCTAATAATGGTTCAGGTATTCTGCTCCCAAAATGCATCATGTGCTTTCCTCGATCTCCAGTTCTGTAGTGGAAATGCTTTTATCAGCCAATAGAATTTTTAAGTGAAATGGAACTTGCACCGAGGCTTTCACGTGCCTTACTTTTCTTAAAGGAGTTTATTGTGTTCATGGGAACAGGCAACACAAGCAATAAAGTAAAGGTACAGACTCAAGGCCTACTTGTAGCTCCTCATCAAACAGGGAAGAAATGTGCCCACTTCCCCAGCATCCATCATCTTAGACACACGTGCCTGAAGCTGCATCCGATGGGACCAGCAGGACAGGCATGAGACAGGGAGACGAGGTGTCCCACAGAGGTGAGGCCACTCCCAGCGGCCCCATGCCAACTGGAGGACTTGGGCCCTTCACCTGTGAGCTTTGCGTGAAGGAGATGGGTGGTGTAGTCAGACCTGTGGGGAGGACGTGAGGACATTTGGATTCTTGTGGGTGCCACCGATGAGAAACTGGGTGTCCATGGGGTCCACTGGGGCCTGTGCTGGCCTAGGATGGGACCTGGAGGGTGAGGGTTTCTTGTCTGGTATCTAGTTGTTGGGATCATTAGGGGCTGTGGTGGCAGAGTGGCATTGTAGATGTCACTAGCCAAGGGGCCTGTGGGGCTTTATGTGACTCCATTGTGGGGTTTCCTGGGGATCATGAAAATTTCTACTCACATCCATGATGGTTGCCTCCTGGACGTTGACAAGCTGTGACCGAGACCAGCAGCTGACCCCACCCTGGTCCAGTGAGGTCAACTTTCACACCTCGGACCCACGAGTTCAGTGTGCATTGCCCGCTTCTTTGTTTCATGGGCACCTGACTGCCATCTAGTTACAGCCCCAGTCTCTCCACTTCCTCCAGGGTCCCAGCCCTACTGCCTTGCTACTGGAGGAGCCTGTGGAGGGTGCTCCCTCCTCGTCTCAGCCCCACAGGCCCCATGATCAGCCTACTCGGCCTCATCTCCCTGCTCTTATGCCTGGGTACACCTCCACCACACACCTGAGAGTCCCTGTGCTGCACACCTGAGAGTGCAATACTACTTTCAGGAATTCAGAATGGCTGGGGTAGAATGTTCAGCCAGTGGAGATGGTGGCCAGTGGCCTGGGGACTGAGGTGGGGCATCCACCACTGTTCCCTGGAAGTCCTGGGAAGGCAGGGGCTTACAGAGCCTACCTGAAGTGCAGTAGGGCCCCCAGCCCCACCCACCCTCTGCATACCCCTGAGCAGGCTCCTGGTGGGGTCTGAGCAGTAAGAACCAGGACACCTGGGAAATGCACCCAGTAAAATGCATCGCTGGCCGCCTCCCGCAGCACCCTCACAGCCAGTGGGACACCTACGGCCTTGGGCCACGTGGGGGCAGTATGGTCATGCCACAGAGGACCTGTCAGCTGCTGGGAGGGTGTTCACAGCAGCTGCAGAGGCTGAGGGCTGTTAGCATCCCCCAGTGCCGGGGTGGCTATGGGATGTGGCCAGGACGCTCTAGGCAGCTCGCTCTCCTGTTGTCCACTCAACTGGTCGTCAGGATGGAGTGAGTGTGGATGGATGGAGTGAGCCAGGGACAGTAATGGACAAGGCACTGGCCTGGAGAGGCCAGGCCTGCTGAGACCTGCAGCAAGTCCTCTCCTGTGTCCTCAAGATCAAACACCCTCCTGCCATGGATGATGTGTGCATGGGTTGGCACCTTGTCTGAGCCCGGAAATGAAGAAACAAACCACTCTCCACCCTGGAGTTCCCACCAAACTTCAGAGGGCCCTTCCTGAGGGGAAACAGTCCACATAAAGCTAAGGCTGTCCCTCCTGTGCCATCACCTGGTCACCCCTGGAGCCCACTATCCAGATAGAGGTGGTGTTAGCAGGTGCAGGGAGGGGAACCGGGGTCAGGATGGGGAGATAAGGGATCCTGTCCCTGCCATGGGCTCATGCCAGATTCTTTGAGCTTCCACATCCTCTGACAACCAGGGGCCTCCCTGCTGCCTGGAGGGTGAGTAGCAAGGTCAGAGTTTGTCATGACACGAAGGTCAAGAGCCAGCCACACTCCTGGCTTCTCAACATTAAGTGCAGCTCACGAGTTCACGTTGGCTCTCATGTGCCAGTGCATGTGACATTATCTGACTGGTGTCTGATTCCTCAGAGGCTCAGGAGGCTGCCCCTTGTGCCTCTGAGAGGCAGACCTTGCCTGGTGGATGGGTTGGTAAGGGGATTCTTGCCTATCTGCATATGTCTGGTACACGTGAAGTTCATCATGCTTACCATTTCTGAGTACACAATCCAGTGGCATTAAGAATGTTCACTTTGCTGTGTGACTATTGTCACCCGCCATCCCCAGAACTTTCCATCTTCCAAAACTGAAGCTTTGCCTGTATTAAATACCAGCTCCCTTCTCCTCCTCCCCTAATCTTGAAAACCCCTTCCACCTCTGTCTATGAATCCAACGACTCTGTGGACCTCGGCCGAGTGGAACTTTATAGCTCTTGTCCTGTTCAGGTGTACTTCCCTGAGCATAATGTCCTCCAGCTTCTCCCAAATTGTTTCAGGTGTCAGAATGTCCTTCCTTTTCAAGGCCGAGTAAATCAAGAAGGTGTGATGGCCTGTTATGTGGTCATCTATCAGTGGAAATGTGCAACCAAACCCAGGGGTCACTAAGCCACATTCCCCAGATCTTTTTATCTTTACTTTGAGACAGGGTCTCACTAAGCTGCCCAGGCTGGGCTGGTGCTTGGATCCTCCTGAGTCTGGGATCACAGCATGGCCATCATGCCTGGCTCAGTCATTAATTTTTGGAGAAACTGCCCCACTGTTTCCACAGAAGCTGCACCTTTTACATTGCTGCCAACAGTGCTCAAGTGTTCCAGTTTCCCTGCATCATGGCCAACACAAACTTTCTGTTCCCCCTTTCTCTCCTCCTTTTCCTTTCTTTGTCAGAAGTCATCCTAATGGGTATGAGATGGTATCTCATTGTGTTTTGTTTTGCATTTCCCTAATAATGGTTACTTTGTACATTTTTTCATGTGTTTATTGGCTACATATGTTTTTTTGAGAAATGTATTTTCAAGACCTTTGCCCATTTTAAAATTGGGTCACTAATCTTTTGTTGTTGAATTGTAGGAAATTTTTATATATTCTGGATACTGGAATATTTTCTCCCTTTTTGTAGGTTGCCTTTTATTCTGTTCATTGTGTTCTTTGATGCAAAAAACAAGTTCCAAGTTTTTAGGTAGTCCAACTTATGTATTCATTTCTTTTCATCATCTTCTTTTGGTGTCATAACCAAGATATCAGAGCCAAGGCTGTCATCAAGTGTTCTCCTTCAAAGGCAGTACAGTTCTAGCTTTTATGTAGAGGTCTTCAATTCAGTTTTAGTTAATTTTGCCTCTGATATGAAGTGAGGCTCTGACCTCATTGTCTTGCATGTGGACATCCGGTTGGTCCTACTGCATCATTGAAAGGCATTCCTTCCACATTGATTGGTCTTAGCACAAAGGTTGAAGCAAGAATTAAAGACAAGGAGTCAGTATAAGTAGGTAATTGGGTCGGATCATCTGCCGCAGTCTGGCTGGGCACAAATCAAGAGCCACTCAAGCAGGAACAAACTTTATTTCCGAACTACCCACATGGCCTTCTCCTGGGACACACCACACACCAACCGGAAATCCCTCCTCCGGCACTTCCCCAACCAACAGGAACTCTACAACTCTAAAGTAGCCGGCTCCTGAGGCCGACAGCAGGGGTCTAATATACAATTGAATACACAGCTTAACATAACCATCATCATCATCTCAATGGCTTGCTGATGTCACCTCTCAACCACTCCCAAAAATGCCATTCGTCATTCCAACTCGGCTATGGCTCTCAGCAATCATCAGTAGTGAAAATGGAGGCCTATTTGGGTCTGGGAAGTTGGAGATTGCCCCTGGGAGACTAGGTGATGTTAGTGGCTGCTCTGGTCAAGGCTCCAGGGCTCAGGAAGGACCCTGATCTGCATCTTGCTGATTCAGGTGTCCTTGGTCGGTGGATCCCCTATTCTATTTCCTGTTTGGACTCCTTACAGCATGTGACTTGAATGCAGTTTGGCCCCACTGGCCACACCTGTCCCTCCAAGATGGCTGCTGCTCCTTCCTGCCTGCTGGGTGGGCCCCCTGAGGATCTACAGATAGCATCTGGAACCCTGGTTGCTTGACCCTTCTGCTCTGCAGGTAGGGAATCTGGGACCCTCAGCTACCTGTGCAGATGGGACATGAAGGTGTGTCCAGCCCAACATTCCTTCCTCACCTTGCTGCCACCCAGAGCCACAGCACCTGCACACCCAGGTGGGAGAAGGTACCTAATGCTGTTGGACCAGCCAGCAGGACAGACGTCACAGTGACTGAATGGTGGGAACTTCCCAGTGGTCTTTAACAAAACATCCAGGCCCTTCTCTGTCCTCTGAGAGAGTTTGGGGCCAGAAAACAGCCATAGCTGAGGGGTAAATGCTGTGAGGCACTAGTACTGCATGACATAGCTTTTAGGGAGCAGCCTGTACCAACTGGGTCCTGGCCTGGCCCCCGAGGAATCCACTCAGTCCTGCTGCCCTGAGAAGAGGCCCAGGAAGCTCCTGCCCAGTTCTCAAAAGGATGTGGAAAGGAGAGGGCAGGAGGCAGAGCCAGGAGCAGTGGGGGTCACCACCTCCCCATGCTCAGTACAGAGAGTAGCTTGGCCTTTCCACACTTCAGGGAGGCCAACTTGGGCCTCTTTGGGAGAGGTGGGGCTTAAAGCAGCCTTGGGCACCTGCAAGGCCACCCTTCAGATACTGCCACAAGAGCTTGCTTGAATGGCCACATTCCAGGGATGTGGTGTACCCTGGGCTGGGCACGGCATCTCTGTCTTTTCCATGCTGCCATCCCCACGTCTAGTAGGCAGAGTCCTGGGAGGTCTGAGTGGCCCCGAGGAAAGTATCAGTGCCCAGCTGGTGGAAGTCTGAGTAGGGAGTGCTCAGAAGCACAGTGCTCTGATTCCAGCTGAGGGTCCTGATGGGAGGAGCGGACAGGGAGAGTTCTGGGGAGGACCTGCAACAGACCCCTGCACCTCAAGGCCGAAAGGGGATGCTGTGGGTGGGGGTCAGCTGATCATGACAGAACACAAGGCCCCCACACCTGTCTTAGTCAGAAGTCACGGAGGCAGACATGTCCTGTGCCTGGGAACTCTGCCTGGGAGACCAAGAGCTCTCTGGCTATGGTCCAGAGAGTCAGAGCTCTCCACATGGGACCTCAGGGGGCCTTAAGGGTCATGCCTCCTTTGGTAGAGAACCAAGGACTGTGGGGATGAGGGGCCTGTGCCTCTTGAGGGCAGTCTGAGGGGAAGAGGGGCAGGGACTGAGGTTCCTGCGACACCTATGTAGGCAGCTTCTGCTTCAAATCCCCAGGAACAGCAGTGAAGTCACTCCTTCCACTGGTCCTGGCTGGGGAGTGCCACTTGTGCCTGTCCTGAGATGTGGGGGCTGTCTCCCACCAAGGGCAAGTGTCAGCTCTATCTAGGAAGCTCCAAAGGTTTTGGGAGGGATTCTCAAGGCACCAGCCTTGACACAGCATACCCCTCCTCTCTGGCACTACAGAGAGTACCACCACATATGCCTATGGTCCTATGCTCCGCAGCAGTTCACAAAAGTGCACCATGATTCTTACAAAACGTACATGAATTATAGACATTTTGAAAAATAAAAAGAAATTAAAGTCAACAGGTTACCTCAGAGCTTTCCAGTTTCTTCCATGCATAGTTCACTTCACAAAAATTGGATCAAGATACAACTAATGGTTTTTTTAAATTCAGCAATATTATTTCATATCAAAACCCACATAAAACCATCAGGTTTTTTTGTTTTGTTTTTTGTAGTGGGGATTGAACTCACCACTGAGCCACATCCCCAGCCCTATTTTTTTTTTTTTTTGTATTTTATTTAGAGACAGGATCTTACTGAGTTGTTTAATGCCTCGCTTTTGCTAAGGTTGGCTTTGAACTCACAATCCTCCTGCCTCTGCCTCCCGAGCATTGTTGAGCCTCTGCCGGCCAGCAGACAGAGCTCTTGCCAGGGCAGAGAGGGACTGAGCAGTCCTCTGGACTCACCTGAGAGACACACAAGCAGTAAGGAGACAGGCGCTTCCCGGGGCTGTGCACTCTGAAGGGAGGAGGGGCAGGGCATCTTCTGGGGTCCAGGAACAGCCGCCCAGAGTGTCTGGGGAAGAGCGCTCACAGCAGGCGGCCATGTGAGCCGTCAGAAAACTGGATTTTCCTCAGGCTTGTTGGGAGCCAGGAGTAGCACCTGGGGGCTGCGGGGAAAGCCTGCGCTGTCTATGGGGCTTTGATGTAGACCTGAGCCGATACCGAGGAGCAGGCGAGGCGCCACCAGGGACTATCCCACGCGACCCGGAGGGAGGTGGCGTGAGTAGAGGGGCAGGCCAGGAACCTTGGAAGTCCTTTAGGCGCTAGATAGAGACATGAGACGGTTCCCACGGGGCCAGAACTGTGCACCTGGTCAACCCACGCCCCAGGGTAAAATGGTGTCAAAATCACGATGTGTCTCAAGGATGGAGGAGAGCAAGGGGGCTGAAAACCATCTGGGATGGGAAGAAAAGAAGGTGGGGCCCGAGGCCTTGGGCGACCTGGGGGCGCACCTGAGGATCTAGGGAGGTTCGGAAGGCGCAGGGGGCTGGGTTCCGGGGACCCTTGGGGGAGGACCCCGTGCAGGGCAGGGCAGCGCAGAATCTGGATCTCCAGAGAGAAGCGGGCAGTGCACGTCCGTCCTGTAAGGACCCTGAAACATCGAGGAGAGTACATCTCTCTAAGACATTAACGTGCTTGGTGCAGATCTCATTCCTGGGAAGTTCAGGGTCAAAAACTCACGAAAGTGTCATACTGACATTTTATACTTCCCAAAAACCTTTTGATTCTAGAAACAGCAGACAGGGCGGCACACGCTAGCCCCACATTACCTATTCCGAGGCGCAGGTCTGGCCCCGGGCTGGTTAGCGGGTGGAAGGAGTCTGGGCCTCCTCACCCGCGCACCACCGTAGGATGCCAGTTCCGCCTTCCCAAGCGCAGGTGGGACCCGGCGCGTGGCGCTGGAGGAGGAGGGTCTGGGGCTCTGGTGGTGCGCACTCAGCGAGTTGCAGGGCGCGATCTCGCCCAGGCATGCAGACACTGGAGGACCTCGAGGCGCAGGATTCTATCCGAACCCAGCACGCGCAGACCTGGGGGTACCGCGGGTCCTCGAAGGGCGCAAGCGTCACCATGCCCAGACACCATGACCCTGGCGGGACCGAAGCCTGGAGGGACCAGAATGCGGGGCGGCACCGGCCGGGATGAGGGTGCCCGCGCGCGCCCCCTGCCGCCTCCCCCTTTCTGGCCGCTCCGGGGCGGGGCGGCTCGCGTGCCGGGGTGGGGCCGTCCTTTTGCGCCCGCCCTGCCGCCTGGTCCCCGAGATGCGAGCGCCGACAGCAGCACGGCCACAGCTCCCGGCCAGGGCGGCTCCCCGCGTGGTACCGCTGGAGCCTCCGAGCCCCGCCGGCCCCGGGTAAGTGCCCTCAGAGGGCTCTGCCGGCTTCCCCGCCTCCCCACCTCTGGCTGCTTTGGCCGCCCGGGACACAAGGGACCTCTGCTTCCACCCATCCTTGCGTCGCCCTGAGGCTGTTGGACGTGGCGGGCATTCTGGAGTCAGTGGGGGTTCCTCACTTACCACCTAGACCTTTGAAGGAAGCCAATCTACTTTCACCGCCCCGGGGTCCTCAGTTTCCCCTGTCCAGGAATATTCTCAACCCCAGTCCCCTCCCCCGCTGCTGATGGACAGTAGCCACGCTAATTTGCCCTTTGCTCTCTGTGCAAGTTCTTTTAGACAGACCCTGGCAGGGGGCTCCCTCCAGGCCACCTGAGCCCTACCAGGGGCCAGTGACACAGTGGGCAGAGCCTTGTGAGGGTGGCAAAGTGGGCCTCTCGGTTGGGGTCAAACATTTCCAGGCAGGGCTCCTGCTTGGGAGGGAATTCCAGGGTTCCAGGAATTTGCTCTGTTAGTGGCAATTTTGCTCCTAGAGTCTTCAGTGGCCGAAAATCCCAGATTGTGGATACTTTCAGAGAAGGATGAGGGACTAGGAAGCTGGTTTTTACTGGAAACTGAATGCACAGACCTGGGTGGGGAGGCCATCTGTGCAACTCGCTGGGAGGGCACAGTCCACAGCTGTGACTGGCCCCGCAGGGCTCTACCTGCCAGGGCCCAGGCCTTGACAGTTCCAGCTCCTGTGTGTAGCTTCACAGGCCTGTTTCCTGGTTTGTTCCAGAGTTTGGGTCAAGTGGGTCAGTCTGGGATGGCCACCCCAGCTGTCCTGAGGAAGGTGGGGGCTTGCCTCCTCAGGACTGTGCGACCAGCAGCAGGCTGTGAGGGTCCTGCAGAGGGTGTGTGCCCACACATGTGTGCATGCATGTGCTCTGGGATGTCTGGCCCACAGAGTTGTGGGTACTGGACAGTGTGTGATGTCTTCTCCTGGCCTGGCCGAGTGATCCACAGCAGAGGATGCTCCAGGTAACAGAGAATGGGCCCACTTCTTAGCCCATACCCACCACTGGGGCCTCCTGCCTCACCCTGCAGATTCCCAGAGGGGTCTGGGACCGTGGGCTTTCATCAGGGGAACAGCTAAGTGGCCCTAACTCCGCCTCACGGCAGCCATGTAAGTTGATAGTTGTCACCCATTCACAGATGATGTCAAGGTGGCACCTAGGGCTCTGACCAAGTGTGGCTTCCCATCTCCAGCAAGATAGTACCTCCTTATGGTCCCAGAGCTGTTGAAAATGCAGGTGGATGAACTTGGGGCACCCGGCCTTGGACAGTGTAGATGGGCTGCCTGAGGGTGCGCTCTGTTTCTGTGTTCCTCTTCCTCTTGGTTTCTAAAATGAATGGGTACTGCTCTTGTGAACGATCAGGTTTCCTGGAGAAGCACATTCACCATTTTGTGGACAGGAGGCCCACAGGCTGCCCGTGGCAGGCCGCCCTCGGCAGTGCAGGCTTACTTGTGAGAGGCACTTAGGGGTTTGCCACTGGGAAGGACCCTGTGCAGGCCACCAAGGTCCTTCCCCCATGACTGGGAGGCATCCCTGCCTGCCTCCAAAGCAGGGAAGGAGGCTGTTCCTGGCAGACCAACACAGCCCCACTAGGAGGGGTTCTGCTGGGAGTCTGGCTCAAGGGACAGAGGAGGGTACACAGCACCCCGTGGGAGGGGGCATCTGTGCAGTGACACCACCACCTTTGCCCAGGACCCTCAGACAGGCAGCAGGCATAGGGAGAAACCAAGTGGTGTCGGGTGAGGGTGGCTGTGTGGGATTCTTGCCCCCAGCCCTGTGCAGTGGGCTTCTGGATCAGTGCTGTCACTCTGGGTGTTTTGTGCCAGGACCGGCATTTTAGGCCGCGCCAGTGCCGAGTTGGACATCCAGGAGAAAGTGGCTTTGGGCATGTGGCAGTCACAGGGGTACCCAGTGAGTGGTGGGTAAGGCTGGGGAGGGCATCTTGGCTCCCACCTGGGTTCCTGCTGCTTGGAGGGAGTTTGAAATGTAGGTGAGTGAGGACTGTCTGCATGGGCCACCCGGCAGCAGCCTCTGCCCTCCTCCATCTTCCTGGTGTTCTGGCCCCTTCCGTGGCCCCAGAGCCCTTCCTACTCTGAGGATTGGGCCTCATTTTGGCATGAGGGTGGGTCAGGGTGGCAGTTCTGGGGTTGGGGTCTCTGGGGATATGTGGTCAGCCCATCCCCTTCACTGTTTCTGACTTGGAGGGTGGTCCGGGGGTTTGCTGCAGGCCCGGTCTTCTCAGGGTGCCGGGAAATGTCCCTGGCCTGTTCCCCCCAGGCTGGGCCAGGCCTGGGTGCGGCTTGGGAGTTTCCTGTCTGAGTTGAAAGACCTTGCCGTCCAGATGGGATGGCCTTGCATACTGGCCTCCCGCCTCCACATGCCCACTCTGGTTTCTTAGAGAAGTGCACTGGTCAGCCCTGGGCGGCTCCAAGGGTGAGACTGGAGTCCCACACCACTCCCAGGAAGGCTGCCCCTTCTGAAGGCCAGCCCCATACCCATGCCCCTCCACTTCACTCAGCCACTGTGCCCCACCACTGCCCACCCTCCTGTCATCCAGAAGCCCGGACACCTCCTTCTCTGGGAGTCATCCCATTGGCTTGACTCCCTCAGGCCCTTCAGCTCCTAGCCCTCTCTGTGCCCTCCAGAGACCTACCTGTGCCCAGCCCAGGGAGTCCAGGTCTGTCCTGCCCTCAGGGTCCTTCTGAACACTTCAGAAGCTGTGTCCACAGATGTGTGTCAATGTTTAACCTATGTCTTTTTCCTGAAGTACAGTGCACATCACTGAAGCTGACCGTGTATACTTGAGTTCTGTGGTGCTTGGCACATTCAAAGGTGTGTGATCCCTACCTGTGTCTGGTTCCCAGCGTCATCATTACTGAGTGGCCTTAGCCATTCAGCATCCACGTCCACTGCCTGCATTCTGGGTGCTTGTGTATGTAGAGTCAGGTGACCCTTGTCTGGCCTCCCTCAGTGCCACCCCCCAGGCTCAGCATGCTGCTGTGTCATGGCCCCATCCCTTCCTGTGGCTCTTCCATCGTGTGCACAGGCCACGACTTACCTATCTGTGGTGGACACGTGGGCTGTATGCCCTTCTTGGCTGCAGTGAGCAGGAGTGTGCATTCTGGTGCAGGTTCTGCTGGAACATGTACTTTCAGCTCTGCGACGTCCCTTGGAGTGGCCTTGCTGGCTCGTGGGGGACTCTGCCATGCACCATGGCGGCTCTGCAATATCCTGTTCCAGTCCCCACCCCTAACAAGATTGCCGTGCTGTTAGTATGAGTGCTGTTGGTGTGAGTGCTGGGGGCTCATTTCACGGGGTTCGATGTCCGTTTGCTCAACGTGCAGGAGGCTGGGCTCCATGCACTGACCACTTGTGTGGCGTTTGTAGAGAAGCTCAAGTCCTTTGTCCATATTTTAATTGTTTTCTTATCTTTTTGTTGTTGAGCTGCAAGAGTTCTATCTGTTCTGGATTTTAGGCCCTATCAGATGTGAGTTGTCAATTTCTGCTCGTTTTAGTCAGCTTCTTCAATACTGTGACTAACAGACTGGATAGGAACAATGTTAGTTTATTGAGGGGCTCACAGTTCCAGGGGTCTCAATCCATAAACAGCGGGCTCCATCTGGGGCTCAAGGTGAGGCAGGTCAGCATGGCAGAAGAGTGGTGTGGGGAAGCAGCTCACATGATGATCAGGAAGCAAAGAGAGAGGAAGTGTTCACTCACCAGACACCCAATGTACACCCTAAAAGCTATGCTCCCAGGGACCAATCTCCTCCAGCTAGGCCCCACCCACCTTCAGTTACCACTCACTTAATCCTGCCAGGGGTTAATCCACTGATGGGGCTGGGACTCTCACGACCCAGTCATTTCTCTTCAAACCTTCTTACCTTGTCCCACACGTGAGCTTTTGGGGGGACCTCACATCCAACAGCACTGCTCCTGTTCTGTGGGTTGTCTTTCACTTCATGTTTTGTTTTCTTTCTAACTCGGGCCACACACTGCTGCCCAGGCTGATCCTGAGCTCCTGGGCTCAGGTGACCCTGCCTCCTCGGCCTCCCCACCTGCGTGTCCCTCACCCAGCTTTTTTTCTTGGGGTCCTATGAAGTATAGTTCTTGATTTTCACACAGTCCCATTTATTCAGGTTTTTCTTTTGGTACTGTTTTTTGATGCCAGTTTTAATCATTGTCAGATCTAAGATTGTGAGGACTTATTCTTGTGTTTTAGTTTTAACTCTCCATTTAGGACTCTGTCAATGTCACATTATTTTCTCGTTTTGCGTGAGGAAGGGTCCAGCTTTATTCTGCGGCATGTGGATATCCTGTTGGCTCTGCATTGTTGGTTGAAGCACTGCTCTTCCCTATGAGTAGCTGGGAATTCTGGTTGAGAATCAGTTGGCCATAGCATGGTTATTCTTGTGCCACATTTTCTCATTTTAATGCTTTTTAAAAAATACTTTTTTTGTGTGTGTGTGGTGCTGGGGATTGAACCCAAGGCCTTGTGCATGAAAGGCAAGCACTGTACCAGCCCCAAACCCGTTCTTTTTTTTTTTTTTTTAATATTTTTTAGTTGTTGATGAACCTTTATTTTATTTATTTGTATGTGCTGCTGAGGATTGAACCCAGTGCCTCACACCTGCTAGGCAAGTGCGCTACCACTGAGCCACAACCCCAGCCCCCCAAACCTGTTCTTTTAATGAAGGAACTTTTCAACTATTCCAGACAAGTGGAGAGAGGTGTACAATGAGCTCGGTTAATTTGCCAGTGAGCACAGGTGGTCAGTGATCACTGAACCTGGCTCTGCCACCCAGGCCACTTGGCTCCACTGCCTTCCCACTCTGTGTCTGAATGAATCGCTGGCTCGCCACTTCCTTCCTGGGTGTTTTAGTGTGTATCTCTAAAACATGGACTTTAACCAGACTTTCCTGTTTAATCTAAGTTTTTAATTCGAATTGAGAAACTTCAGTATTA